CTCTTAGTGGGGAACAGGGAATGGAGATGATCTAGCTGTGAGACTGCGCACAACAGGCCAGTTATTCCTGACCGTAGGAATTATTTTTTGAGGTGTTCAGCTTAGAATAAGCTACTGTTTGAAGCAAATAAAAGCATCAAACATCACCAAGCAGCAGTCAAAATGGGAAAATTTTGGATTGTAGCTAGTTGCTGTCATGAGCTGCAGATGAATTTACAGCCTTGCCGTAAGAGTCAGTCTTCCATTTTGAGATCTTTCCACTCCTATCTGCCTTCTGAAATGGCAGCATAATAGATCTCCTTTCTAAAGCTGCTTCCATTTAGTGGATATGTTGCTAAGTTTCAGGAAATTAAAAAAAAAAACTTTTTATGGTTTGTTCCAAGCTAAGTTCTGTGCTGTCTCTTATGCTTTTCAGCTGTGACCTGTCCAGCCTTAGAAATGCCTGATCATGGTGCTGTGAACTGCTCCCATTCCTCTGTGGAGCTCAGCTGGGGTACCACCTGTGAGTTCACCTGTGAGGAAGGATTTACCCTGACAGGACCAGCCACACTGCAGTGTGGGTCTTCTGGGGCCTGGGACAGGCAGCAGCCATCCTGTGCAGGTACCTTTCTTTATCCCTGCTCACCTGAGCACTTGGGGTTGTCAGCATTGGCATGTTGAATTCCTGAGGCATCTGTGCTGATTGCTGTTGTGATCTGTGTGTTCCAGCTGTGAGGTGTGAGGCTGTAACCTGGGCAGAAGAAGGCTTTGTGACCTGTGACCACGCTCCTGCAGATCTCGCCTATCGCTCGCGTTGCGATTTCTACTGCAGCAAGGGCTATGTTCTGGATGGCCCATCCAGCATTGAGTGCACGGCACAGGGACGGTGGTCAGAGCCAGTGCCAAAATGCAAAGGTAAGACTTACTGGGTTGGAAAATACAGTTTTCTTGTCGCTGGACAGCACACTGAAATCTGTATTTCTATAGGGTGCTGGCTCCAAACTAAATTCTGTGCTGCCTCTCCTGTTTTCAGCTGTGACTTGCCCTGCCTTAGAAATGCCTGCTCATGGTTCTGTGAACTGTTCCCATCCCAAAGTCTAATGAATTTGAAAATACAGTGTACATCTACTAGTGAAAAAAAATAGGGCCAAAGACAGGAAAGTCCTTAATGACTCTTAACCTTTTCTTTCTGTATTTCAGTTGTACAGTGTGAACCACTGAGGTCTCCTGAGAAAGGCTCTATGGATTGCTCACATGGTGCTGGGAACTTCACGTACATCACAGCCTGCCACTTCAGCTGTCTAGAAGGATGGAGGCTCAATGGTTCTCATGTTCTTGAGTGCAGTCATTCAGGAAACTGGAGTGCCAGTCTGCCCACATGTGAAGGTATTTGACCTGTGACTAGCCACAGAGAAGTGGCACCGGGTTTCTAGTCAAATGAGGTATGGAAGGGTGGAGGAGGTAGCACCAACTGGTGAGCTAGAACTTCTAGTGAAGTCCATGAATTAAAAAGCCCAACATAATATCTCAGTATGTTTTTTGAAAATAGAAGGGAGAAAAACTCCTAAAAGGTCTTGGTGAAAAAAGTTGATTTCTTATCCAAAACCAAAAGCCGCAACCTGATTTTGGTTGTTTTTTACAACCTGGTTTGTTTGTTTTTTAATTAAAATATTTCTCCTGTTGAGCTTTTTCCATACAAATAAAGAAAAAAAGCTTTTCTAGAGAAACAGAACCTTGTGGGGAAATCTGCATTCATAAGTCTGTTTCTCAGTGGAAAAGTTTATAGATTTGTTAATTTGGTGTGTTAGTTTCTTGGGTGAACTCCTCAGCCAAAAGACCTTGCAAAGCTTTTCTGTCAAAGGCTGTAATTTTACAGGACAACAGTCTCAGCCTTGCCTTCCCATTCGAGGCAGTAACAGCTCTGTCCCTGTCCTCAGTGGGAACATACTTGGCCTGCCTGAAATGCTTTTGCTTGACATCCTAAAAGCTCAACTCCACTTTATTTGCTTGAGCAGAATTTAGATCCTTTAATAATTTCATTGATCTCAACGGGATTGCTCAAAGAGGAAGACAGCATAGTGGGAATTAAAATATGAACCGAAACATGAAAAATAAAAGATGAGCATAAATTGTCATGTGAGGCTGGAGGCTAGACAGACCCTGGTACAGCTAGCTTGTTGCCTTGCCATTGCTTTGGCAATGGGTGGGATAATTTTTAGTATGCAGCTTTTTACCTTGTATACAGGATGTGTCCTGTCTCAGCAAGAGAAAACTTAAGGGTTACAAGCTGCAATTCTGGTTCCTCTTGAAGAGCACAAGGAAAAGGAAGAAGTAGAGAGGTCTTCGAAGACCTCACATGCCTCTTGATCTCACTGAAACTTTTTCATCCTTTCAGCTTCTGAACAAGTCAGCTATGTCTCTGTGGGCATAGCAGCCACAAGTGCCTCTCTGTTGTCCACAGCATTGTTCCTCCTTTGGCTTGCAAGGCATTTCCGAAGAAAAGGTGAGCAATTGGACTGGGTCCACTGGTTTTATTTACCCTCCTGAAAAATTTTCAGCGGAGAAAAAAACCCGACCTCCAAATCCCAATACCTTGCTTTTTGAAAAAGTGAAAATCCCCATACTTGAAAATAATTTTGGAATTTTTTTAAGAAGCCTGTATGCATGCCATGTTTAGCTTTTGGATGAACATTTAAAAATCAAAAATAGTAAACCCCAAATATTTAGAAAACAAGAATTAGAAGAAAAAAGCCACATTCTATTTATCAGTAATTACTGCCAGGGAAAGTGAATGGGAATTTGAGATGGGGCTAATGACAGCACAGTAATAACTGCCTGTGAGATTTGTTGCTAGATAATGGCTTTTTATCAGATATTCAGAAATGAGAGGGGTTTTAGTAGAAGAAGTAGTTTGCATGAGGGGGCTTTCATCTTGAAATGCTAATACCTTTTCTTATTCTTCTTGCAGCAAAGAAATTTACTCCTTCCAGGTAAGTTGTGTCTCAAAAAGCAGCGTGAAAAACACTGCAATCACTTTGCTAAAATCCATTTGATACAAACCAGTTGTCATTAAAGTACTTTTTATTTCTGTTTTTTATAGTAGCTGCCAGAGCCTAACCATTGAAGGTAGCTTCCAAAGTGCTGGCCAGAATGTCTGACTCCAGGTGTTTCAGGTAAGCACACAAGATAGCTGAACTCACAAATTCTCTTCCTTTTAATCACACAAGCAATCAGAGCTGTTAATTGCTATACAATTGCTGAAATAGCAATATGTGCTTTGGGGTACCTAATATGCATCTTGGCATCGCATGAAAGTTCCTAATGAGACTGATGTATTTATTGCTTTAGAAATGGTTATTCAGCTCCTTACGGATGATTGTGCTTAGCATTCTGTCCAGCCACGTATAGTATTAGGAACACTTTTGTGCATTTTTGCTACCTGCTGCATACAAAATTCCTCTGAAATGAGAGCAAATACAAATCTCTGCCAATTTTCCAATTTATAGAGGAATTTTTTCTCTCTGCAGGAATTGAAGCCGTCTTTACTTACGTCTCAGAGATTTCTGGAGAATGAAACTGCACGCAAATCAACAGCTGTCCAGATGTTTTTACCTCTTGCTAACAAGATGGTTGACCTCGTGTGTTGCTCGAAAATTTTGAACTCAAGCTGTCTGGTATTTCCATTGAAGACAAGCAGAGAGGAAAACTCTGGCCTTCTGGCAAAATACTGTCTACATTCAGTCATGTAGTTATCATAACTGGGAGCTTGCCATCTCTTGTCCAGATGGTGAGCAAATAGTAAGCTGCTGCCTAAAGAGGAGGCTGGTTTCTCCTCTGGTCTACTCAAAGGTACCTAGATGAGGTGAAGACATGCATTATTTCACATCACTTACTACACTGCTGGAGATGCCTTCTCTGGAGGCATATGGGATATACTTGCAGAAACAGAATAATCGGGATGGAAAAAATATTCATTGAATAGCCTTGAAATCATTGATCTGGTTTATTGTTGAAGTCAGTTTATTTTAAGAGGATGTCCCAGTCAATAAATATGCCTGTAGTGATATGGGCAATTATTTGGGTTTCTGCTGCATGTCCCAGGAAGCTGAGGGACTTTAAACTTTTTTTTTTTTTTTTTTTTTGTTTTGTAATAGCACTAGGAATCGTAGTGCTTATACTAGGTACTCTGGTTTCTGAATGCAGCAGGTAGATCTGAAATTATCTCATCCCTGTGGGATTATGCACTGTAATACAGGTGTACACATAAATATTTAATTGTGCAATTTTTACTGTGGATATTTCTGTGCTGTTAACTGTAAATGTATTGTAAAATACCTATTCCTGAATAGGTCTGTGGCCATTGATCTGGGCCCAGGTAATTTTAAAATAATTCAGAGGTTTGTAAAGATTTCATGCCTGTGTATTATTTACAAATAAAATGGAGGCCTGAGATTTGTATATAAATTGCAAGTATGATTTATTAAGCTGTTAAAGGACTTTAAATGAAAGTCTTTCTTAATAAGTTATGTTTAAGTTAGAATCATAAATTAAGAATCTCTGACTTAGAATCTGATATGTATTGTCCTATTTGTAACAGTATTTAATAAAATGTTTTCAATGTAATGCTCCCTTTTTGGAAACGTACATCATTTAAATGATTTATGTCAGCCCTGTGGGATATGGCTTCAGCAGCAGAATGTGAAGGGTTGGGGGAAGACTGGCTAAATAGCAAGGCTGTCCCTTACTCAGCTTTCCATGTTTTCATAGCAGTCAAGGAAAGAGTAGCCAGCAGATGGCACTGCCTACCTGGGAGCTAGCACAGCCAGAGCGCGACCCCAAACGGGCATCCCCAGTCCTGAAAGGAAGGAGGAAGGCTCAGCGATGTGCCCTGTAAAGCAGGTGCCTGGACCAGCAGTGGGCTTTGTGACAGGCAGGCTCAGGAGGGAGAGGAGAGCAGAAAAAGAGGCCAAGTAGGTGATCTTGGTGCGTAGTTAACAGCACAAACCCCTCAGCCCATGCAGGTCTTTCATGGCCCTTTCTGCTGGGAAGCTACCTGAGTGCTGGGAGACCATGGGCTAACAGGTGAAAGCACAGCTCTGGGGATTAGTGATGACTGCTGTCTAGGGACCTCCACCCCCACCCTGGCTTGGGATGTAGCCAAAGACTCTGCCATGGGCTAATGCTGGCCAGGTGCCAGCGATGGCCAGACAGTCCTGTGGCCACACTTCCCCAACCCCTGATGTAGCCAAGGAAACTGCACTGTGGCTCTCCATAGTTGCTGCCAGCAGCAGCCAGCCCTTGATTATAAACCACGAGATGCATTCCTGCCCTAGGCGAGGCTCAAGAGAAGCCATCAGGCCTGTGAGCAATGGAGTCAATTAAGAGGTGCTGTGCCACAGTGGACAGGGCCCATTGCTCTTTATCCCAAACCGATTAATGAACTGAGAGCGGCTGTCAGTGCTTCCCCCGCCTTGACAAGGTGGGGCCCAACCGTGTGAGCAGATGTAGAGCAGTAATCCTTCAGGTTCCCTGAGGAGATGTAGAGATTAGCCCGAAATGCCCCGCTCTGAATCCCTGCAGGAGCCGTTTTGAGACACCACCGCATGGGTCCCCCAGCCTGTCCTTGTTGTTGTCCTCTACATGCATGGCCCTGTCACATCCTCTGGAGAGAGCTGCTCAGGCCAGCATGGCTTCTACCCTGCTGTAGTCAGGGCAGCCCAGCTTCTCCTTTTCCAGGAGTTTATCGGAGCTGGTGCTTCTAGCAGCTTTCCCTGGGATCTTACAGGGGCTTTACTACCAGAAAAGACACTATAAAATTATCTGCTGTCTTTCTCCAAACCTTCGTCCCTTGTGACTTCCAGAGGCAGCAGGAGTGAGACCACATGTGAGTGGGATTAGTCCTCTGCCTCTCCCGTATAACCCCTAGGCCAAAGACTCCCTGAAGCGGATCCCCTTTGTTCCAGTGACTTACAGGTTACATCTATCCTCATAATTAATGTTAGTCTACGGCACAGGCAAAACCCTAGCCTGTGCTTGTCCAGGTTGCTTGATTCTTGATCCTCTCCTGGCACTGTTTTTTCCTGCTTCAGGATATGAATTACCAGTTATGATGGCATGATGTGTCCAGGCCTTTAGGATCTTCAGGAAGTCATTTTATTTGCAGTGGATGTGTCTCTGTTGCAGTGCCTGTGAACACAGCTCTTCTGTTGTTTGCTATCTGTATAGTTCCTGTGCTGGAAAGAATAGTCGTGGGAATGCTTGCTGCCAGGCGGTCATTTAGTAACTCCATTGTATCACTCCTCTATATGGTGCAGTGTTGTGCAACCACCGAAGGGCCACAGGGTCTTTGCTGGAGGGACTTTCCTTATTTCCTGTTGTCCCATTTCCCTTAAATTCCTCAGCTCTCCCTGGGCCTGTGGCATTGTTCAGAATGGGATCCATGTTTTGCCTGGCATCTTATTTTGGAGTGGATGTCTGCTTGGGCCATAACCTATGGAAGCTGTGAAGGTGACATTAAGTGGGAGGCACGCATGTCCTTACACAGCTCTGCGTGCTTGCTGCTTGGCAAGGGGATGGTTTTTGTGGCGTAACTTAACAAATTCCTGATGAACTGAGCTACCCGGGTGGCTTTAGCTTTTTACATCTGCAGTCCAACAGAGGGGGACTTAGAAACAAAATTTCACTTAAAGTCTCAGACAGGTAGCGTTTGATTTGGGGTAGGTGTCTCTGTGGCCCTTGGTGATATGGACAGAATAAGCCCTGCCCAGAGTGGGTTTGTGCCTTCTGTTTTCAAAAGCAATTAGCCATCAAACAAGCAGTCATTTACCAGGGCCTGGCTGAAGTGGCCTTCCAGAGCTCCAGTTTTCAAGGGTTGGATTGGACCCAGCATTTGGCCAGCAGTTTTTCACTCACGAAGATAGGTCACTGCTACAGGCTCTGGAGACTGCACATCTTTGCAGCTCCTTGCGTGCTTTGCTGAGGACTGGCAGCAGGGACTTTGAAGCAGCAGCTCCCGGAGGAGTTGGTGTCGTGATCAAATCACTAACCTGCTCAGCTCCTGCCCTGGGAGCTGTCAGAGGGTATTAGGGCCAGGAGGCCAGACTGCAACACACCATGTCTGTGCAATGCAACATACTCAAGCCTCTGTGAGTCTGGTTTCTGTCCTGAGTCTTGTTCCCGTTTGAATTCCTCTGGTTCTTGCAGGGGGCTGGCTCCCTCCTCTTAGCTTGAGCATGCTGCTAAGGTGTGGCTGGTGGTGGGTATTTGGTGAGGGCCTTCAGCCCATAGTCCTAGAGGAGAAAGTTGCCGTGGTGAGCTCTTGGTCAGGGACAGAGAGGACCACAACATCACTGTTCCCTGGGAGCCATAACTCACATCAAATGAGAAATACAGCATGGGCTTGCCCACAGACCGGCAGGCTATCCTCCTGTTGGTAGTGGGTAGCAGAAGCTTGGTGGAGGGCAGAAAAGCAGGCGTCATAGCCCAGCCTGTCATAGCATTTGCACAGTTGTACTGTGGAGCTCCCTAGCCTGGTTTACGGCCTCTCTCATGCACACCTTTAGGGAGAAACAAGAAAAATTGCAGGTTAGATTTGGCCAGTGGAGTCAAAATCTGCTGGATGGTTATCGCTACTCACCTGGCACTATTAAATCTCACCTAGAAGGGAGGCAGACTTGGCTAACGCAGTTCACCTGTGGCTCCAGTGTGAGAAAGAAATCCACAGCCCAGAAAGTGTTTCCACAGTTGATGATGGCCAATGCTTTTTCCAGCTCAGGAAAGCTGCTGCCAACAACAGGACAGCGTGCAAAAAGCACAAATGCCTCCTCAGCAACGCAGCAGATGCCCCCGGGCAGCTGCCAGCAGGTTTTCTACCTGCCTTCCCACTTCAGGGAAGGACATTCCCTGAAAAGCCCAACAGTTGCTTTGACTTTCAGCCTGGGCCAAGTGGGACCTTCATCAACTTCTCACCTCGCCAGCTGCCATGAAAGCAGCGATGGCAGGTGTGAAATTGCAGGTGACTTGCTTGCTTCTGGCACTCCAGTGCTGTCATTTTGGGCTTTTGACAGCCTCTGAGTGGGCAGGAAGAGGGAATGGCACTGAATCCATGCATTCTGGAGCAGGCCTTGGATCGTGGAGTGCTTGGGTGGAAGGAAAAGGGTTAAAGGGGAGACGGGAAACACTTTGTTCAGGGCTTATTCCACAGGATGATTTCTGGGAAAGGAGGGGCTGCAATCAGGCAGGATGTATTCACTTTGGGATCTTGGGAAATCAAGCCCAGCCTTGATTTGAAGAGGAAAATATAGCGCAGCCCACACTGCACAAAACAGCAATGTCCCCGCTTCACCTTATCTCGTGTCAGCACAAACAATCCAGATAACATAAAAATCAGACATGGTGAAATGCTGGCTTCACGTGAACAACCAAGATGTCCCATGGGGAAATGATACGGTTTGAGCAGAAAGACAGCGGGCGTAGTCCTAGAAAGCCCTATCCTAAGATAGAGAGAAAGGGCCCTCTCCAGCCCTCACTGTGTTTCCTCCTCCCCCCTTGCCTCAGCTGCTACCAGGGACCCCAGGTTGGTCCTTGGGTGGA